CCGCATCCAACGAGTGGTTCATTAAGCTGAGGAACCGAACGGTTCCGGAGTTATGATAGATTGAAGTTTCCGTTCAACGCGCGCCGACCGATTTTCGCGCGCAAAAAAGTCGGATTTGACTGTTATTTGATCAGATTGAATGTTCAAACTGAGCAAAATGCTTTATTAGGGACTCTTGAGGGTCGCTGAGTTCAGAAATTACCGATACTTCCAAAAAATTCACGTTTTTAAAATTGCAGCTTCGGACAGGACCACTGAGCGGCCGGTCGGCGCTCAGTGGGCCTCTAAAATAGCGCTGCGGAGCTGTAATTTTAAAAACGTAAATTATTTGGAAGTATCTGTAATTTCTGAACTCAGCGACCCTCAAGAGTCCCTATTAAAGCATTTTGCTCAGTTTGAACGTTCAATCTGATCAAATAACAGTCAAATCCGACTTTTTTGCGCGCGAAAATCGGTCGGCGCGCGTTGAACGGAAACTTCAATCGATCATAACTCCGGAACCGTTCGGTTCCCCAGCTTAATGGACCACTCGTTGGATGCGGAAAAAGACGAACAATTTAAAAAACTGGTTTTGGTTCAAATAAAAAATTGAGATCTTTGTAAATTTTTCGTTTAAAAGAAATTTTCTAGACCTAAAAACTGGAAAAAAGCACATATGTTGACTTAAAAATGTGATATCGGGATTTTGACCTTTAGAATCTTAAAGTATGCAATTTTAGACGATTTTTCGTCCAAACCGGACCTCGTTATCTTTCTTTGTTCAAGAGATATCGAGGTTCACAGGTTTTGACTTCCACCCCCCCCCCCTAGCTCCCCCAAAAATTTGTTGGGAGTCTGAAAATTTGGGAAAAGAAGCGCTCAAGTATGAGTAATCAATAGACAAAGTCTGAAGAACTTCCAGAGGGGGGGCGAAAAAAGCCGTTTTTGCATCAAGCTCTTTGGCAACGCCTGAAGGTTCATACGGCGTTCTTCCTTAGCAAGGCAGTAGAGATGGCACGGGGCGCGGGGCACAGCGCGCATCGGGCGAAATCGAAAGTGAGGGAGTCTCCTCTTCTCTGAATCGGGCCAAATCGGACAGCTCTAGCTCGCCGAAGTTGGACCAATATTCCACGAGCTATCCCAACCGTGATGTCAAGTTAGCCGTAATAGAATCGGTCATTCTCGAAAAGACTTATGCTCCAGAGATGAATTGGACGTAATTCTGCCAAACGGAACTATGTTCATTACGACATGAGCCATGCGACCCATTAGAATATGTGCATAACAGGGCTCATGTCATAATGCACATAGTTCCGTTTGATAAAAATACGTCCAATTTACAAGGAGATCGTGAAAAGTGTATTAATTGATCAGTTTTGAATATTGGATCAAGTCGAAAGTGGTTTACCAATGAAAAACTCGCGATACTTTGAAATTAAGTTGCGAGTTTTTTGCGATAAAATTGATAAGATCATCAACATCTGAGCCATCCTCGATCTTCTCGCGATTTTATTCCTGTAAAATTACGTTCGATCAAATTGAAATTTTATCTCAATTTATCACGATGTTTTGTTCGGTAATATTGCAATAAATTGCTGTCAATAAGCTACGGAATCGCAATTTATCGCAATTTTTTACCCGATAATATTGCAATAAATGTCGATAAAATCTGATCGATCCTCTGATCAAATCGCAATATATCGTGACCACTGCTAGACCGAAAAGCTTTCATGGGCAATTAAAAAGTAAACAGGGACAAGTGGCCGCTACGCGGCCGCCAACCGCTGAAAAGACCTGCAAGTAAAAAATTGGGGAACAATCATGTTCAAGTTTTTAAGAGATGAATGAATTCAAAACCCGACGGGTGCACCAAAAAAGGAAGCGTATATTTATCTCTTATTGCAACGTTATGCACCACTTTTATAGTTTTTTTTTTTTTTTTTTTTTTTTTTTTTTTTTTTTTTTAATTAAATGGTTTTTGAAAAGTCTCCGCAAATTTACCTAAATGACCTCAAATAATAGAATCGAAAATTCCGACGCAATATTTGCGTTCGTTCTATTTTATTTTAATGTAATCCCCCCAAAATATAAATGTCATCCGAGTTTATGAATTGTTACAAAGACGATACACATTTTCCCATTAATTGTGGGAAAAACTTGAGCAGAAAGTCAATAATGATGACATGCAGTCCTACAGCATTTTTACAGTCTTGTAAACTCCAGTATACGTTTCACTCCAACTGATCGACTGCACTACATTTGGCGGAATGCGAGAAGTATTCATGGAGTCTCGTAGGCGCTAACATGGGCGCCGGACGACCGCACTGTTTGGCGCAATGCGTGAAGTATTCCTACAGTTTTGCAGGCGCTAATGTACGTTCAACGCCAGCCGCACTGTGTACGGCGCGATTATTCGATCTCACGTTAGAATAATCATGGCATCGAATAATGGAGCTTAAAGGGCCTATGTTGTGTTCCAAAAGTTCTTTGTACCCACGACCACTATTCAATCTTTCAACTTCGTTTATCATCAGAAGGTAAGACATCAATGACTTGTCAACAAACTAACCTAAACTAGCGTTAACATAAAGTGCGTTTATTTTCCAACTGTTTCCTGTTTTGCCAAACTTCTACCTTACGTTAACTTCATTTTAAATTCGCTCCTTTATGTAGCAGATGTTAAGGTTTCTATTCACGCAATCCTTGTGCCTCTTTCGCGCAATCCTCATAAATTCTTTTAGATCTTTCACGCAGTTCTAGATTATGGAGCTTGGCGCCCTATTTTTTTTTATTTTTATTCATTTTTTTTAAACTTTTATTCATACTTTTTCCTACATACAGATGTATTGCAAAATTTACAGGTTACAATAACTGGCAAGTAACAGATTTTAGGTGGTGAGTCTTATGAGACCCTAGATTATTTACACTATGCTGCCGTGCTAAGGAAGAACGCCGTATAAGCCCTCAGACGCTGCCAAGTTTCTACCGATAAAAACCGAATTCACCGGAAAAATTGTGATTTTTATTTTCCAAAATTTTCAGACAATTTTGTCCGTAATTTAATTTAAAATGTCTGAAAATCTCAAGGGAAAATATGCATTAATATTATCAAAAATCTGTTTCATCGAGGAAAATTTGGCAACTCTCGAATGTTCATACGGTGTTCTTCCTTAGCACGGCAGTATGATAGGGGTGGGGGGGGGGGTAATAGCAAGTAGCCCTTTTACGCTTACGTCTTTTCAAAATTTAAATCGGGCCTTTGAGGAAAGCGATTCATCAATTTAACTTCTTTTCATCGTTAGGTGGCATAATGGGATGGTATAGTGCAGTGGTGTGGCAAGAATTGCGATATATCGATTGTTATGCCGTTTAAACCTATGGTAAAGAATCGATTATTAAGGTGTTCGCTGCAAACACCCTGTTTATCGATCCTTTTCCATAGGTTTCATGGCATAACAATCGATATATCGCAATTCACGCCACGCCACTGGTATAGTAATGTCTGAGCTTTGGCATAGTGCATGATGGGCCGTGGGCGAGGAGCCCTCTACATGTCCAGTGGCACGGTGGCTGGGTGATGCTCCGAGACCGACCAGACTTTTGCGACATTGCAATACATTGCACTTCAATCCACGCCGCAGCCCGCAGCGAGCCGAGCGCATTCGAAATTGCCACATTTTCGTCTAATCCCAAAAACTGAGACAGCACTGTTCACTTCGTTCAGAGGTTTCTCATAACAGAGCTCAGACGATAGAGCACTAGAAGTGCCCATCGATGTTCACGGGAAGAATGAAATCGCTGATTTAACGATTTAATAGTTAAAAAAATTGTCCGGCATGTTTTAATGTAGATTTTACAACAAGAAAATGCTAAGTTTACCACCCTCATGGTTAAATTAGCTTTCGGTTATTGTAAAATATACGTTTGAAACATGTCGGAAATATTTTTTAACAATTTAATTGTTAAATCAGCAATCCATTTTTTTCCGTTTTACCTGAATTTGGTATCCTTCAAAAATTATGCTTTTTGTGCTCAGTTCAATCGTTGGTACATGGTATTGACGATATCGTGGATTTTCATTCATGCTACCTATTATTTTTCGGGGTAAAATTAAAAAGTGTCAAATGATTGAACGAAACAAATTGTGTGTTATAACTGCGCTGGATTGAAGAAAAGGGGCAAAACGCACCATCAAAATCCTGGGCCTCGATAACTATCTTGAAAGAAAAGAAATATTTCAAACGAAATTCATCAAAGTTATCAAAAAGACTGCTGAATTAAACATTGCGAAGGCTTCTAAGACGTTACATATATTCAGTCCAAAAGATTTTTTAGCGGTTTTTTGAGAAATGTCACATTTATATTTTTAGTGAAATCTTCAGTAATTTTGTTATACTGTATGCTTCATCCGTTCAGAATTCAAATAAGAGAAATATTAAACTTTAAAAATAATTAAATAATTTATAAAAAACTCCGCCTTCTATCGTCAAATAATTAGATCAAATTCAGCAAAAAATCCAAGACGCATAGAGTTAGAAAAGCGTAATTTTAAATAGAAACTGGAGCTCTTTTTATTGGGATGCATTGTATAGTTTTGTGATCATTTTACCTTCGCTTTTCCCCCGATCACGTTGATCAAAATCTAAAATCTAAAATCTACAATCAACGTCATCGGGGAAAAAACATAGGTATACTTTTAAGTAGTTTTATTTTACATAAAAATCATTAACGAAAAAATTAACCCCCTTTCCCAAATTCAAAATCGTTTCCGTTTTTGTAAACAAGGAAGATGTGTAAAAATTTAAGCAAACTTAATTTTCTTCCTAAATGGCAGCTCTGTACCTTTCCATCCTAATTGGTCAAAAAATTATGCGGCAATAACAAATTTCCGTAAAACACAAGACTTTTAATCAATTGGTTCTTAAATTGATCATTTTTTGCCCAATTTGACGGCAAAGCATGGATGAAGAGGTACCCAGCCTGGCTGGGGGATCCGCGCGCCAGCAAAACAAGACCGCGGTGTTGTGGGTAAATATAAGCACGCTACTCATCAAAAATCTTCACTCTCCACCGTGTTCCGGCCTAATCCACATCCGAACAAACAGCCGCAACATGAAATTAACCGTGAGTACCATTTTCCATTTTTCGTTTTCCACGTGTCTGGCAGTGATCCGAGGGGGAGGGAAAGGGGAACAGTGAAAACTTTCAATATTTTGATAAGCACACGTGACAGTTATTTCGTACCTTGCTGCTGCTTTTTGCATTTGTTTCGTCGCTTGAATTTAGGTTAGAATTTTTACTTTGAAAATTAAACTTATACCTCTAATATTCCCCGTTGTGATTGTTAGTAAAGTTATCATGTCCAAAATAGATGGGTAGCGGGTAGCCTCGTCTCACCCTGAGGTATCACGTTATATTCTAGGCTAACTTATTTATACTATGCTCATTTCTTACTGTTCAACATATATTCTAAAGTTCCAGATATGGACTTCATTAAAAAAAATGAGACTGTAATTACAAAATTGCATGACAAGGGTTTTAGGTGTATTGCTTTCAGGTGAAAAACTACAGTGCCTGTTCCTAAACTTCAATCCCGCAGTTTTTATGACTTTTTGCCTCTTATTCCGTGCACTCAATGAAACAGATTATTGAATCAACTTTTAAAAGGACAGAGTAACTTTTCCTTCAGTACGTCTCAAAATTTCTAGGATTTGTAAACAATTTATGGACTTAAAAACATAGAAATCGTTTACACTGAGTAGTATTTGTAGAAGTAAGGTTCCACCAGAAATGTCTTTGAATGTTACGAAAAAAAGCAAAAGAGAATTTGCACACACATTCGCAGAATCTTTTAAAATTAATCAGGATCAATATCTCTAAACTTTTTTACTGACTTCCAGAGGAACAAGAAATGGAATTTTCATAGTTTCCTTTCAATTTAGTTCGCCAAAAAACTAGTTTCTTCGTTACCATCGGTAACTATGGGTACATACTTAATTGAAGACTTTTCACTTGTTAATGATCTTGCCGTTCTCTCATTTTGTTCTTTACCACTCTCGTGAATTCCTATACCCATCTCAATACATTTGTCGTTGCTCTAAATAGATGAATGACAGGGTTTGAACAGTTTGAATACGATGCTGTGACGCGATTTTTCGCCGTAGAAAATTATGCGAAAAATGAGCCGTCCAACCTCAAGTTCAAAAAACTAAGAATGATCCGAAATGTTGATATAATTTTAACTGAAATTATGTGCAGCACTGCACAAATAATGACAATCTGTCTTGAATTTGATCAATTTTGAGTAGTCATATCACAAAAGTAAAAAGAACACACAACCTGGTACACTTTCTCCGATTCCCTTAACCATGCACTTATTTCAGGCTGCATGTGACAAGAGCATTTTTATGCCTTAGTCCAATTAAAAAAGTACCGATTTTTTTTTTTTTTTTTTTTTTTTCTTCAAACAAAAAAAAGCGATTGATAAAAGCTGGATCCTCGTTTCTTTCGATTTTTCGAGTTTCTCGTTTATAATATCTATGTATCTGGCTAATGTGGTTTGGTTAGTCTTAAAAAGAGTTTCGATTAGCATATAACCTTACATAAATACCACGCGTTTTTACCCTCGAATGATTTCCTTTTCGGCCGAAATGAAACTGCGAACATTAAGAAACTCAACAATATCCCCGTTTATTTTACTTTTCCTTTCAAATAATGAAGTCCATGAACCAACCCTAAGAGAAATAATCGTAAACACCGCCCTTTTAATCCATTCTTCAACGGGTCGTTCTATATACTCCTATGCTAATCACAAAGTTTCTCGACAAAATACGATTATTCCCTGAAAAACGTGTCAATATTATTCTTCTTATTTTATCAAAGAATTTCATCTGCAATTTTATCCAAGACATTTGATAATTCTAAATAAAAATATTCGTAAATTTCCTTATATATTAATTTTTTCTGTCGATATTCAGTAGGTGATTCTCCTGCGGGCTGATTGTCGAAATTGATGGACAAAGCGATAGACAAAGGAGACATAAGGAGTATGAAGCGATCCTATTACTTGAAATGAGTGGTTCTTATGGACTAAGGGGGTAAATAATGGACTAACTATCGGGTCCCTCGTGGGTTGCCATTAGTTAGTCTATTACCCACGTCCTTTGTCTATTGCAACCACCCGCTTCCACCGATAGGATCCCTCCATATCTTTTTCGTCTTCTTTGTCTATCTGTTTATCTATCAATCTCAACAATCAGCCCGCTGAATACCGAAACACGGCAGCCACTACACTGAAAAAAAATTATCGGCGTTTTTAACCAAGCTCTGTTGGTACCTTTATACCATCTCACTTTTTTTTACCGCAATTATTGGTAATTTTACCAAGATAGACTGGTAAGCTTACCTAAAAACCGGTATTTTTACTGTTTTTTTTCAGGTAAGAATACCACTTTTATTGGTAATCAATTCCCGGTAACTTTGCCATTTTATCTCGGTAATTCTACCACAGTCGATAAAAAATATTGGCGTTTTTACCAAGGTCCAGTAAAATTACCGAGAAAGTAAATAATTTTACCGAGATTTCTCTGTAAAATTACCAATGCCATAAATGGTAATTTTACCAAGAAAAAACTGGGATCAAATAGAACCCTGAATTCTTGGTAATTTTACCTTTTTCTTAGTAAATACACCGAGATTTCTTTTTCAGTGCACCGATAGGATCCCTTTCTATCCTTTTTGTCTTCTTTGTCTATCTCTTTGTCAATCAATCTCAACACTCAGCCCGCTGAACACCGAAACACGGCAGCCATCGGGCATGAACATGTGTTCCTACGCTTCGGTTCACTGTGCGGCGCTACCTTGCTGCTGAGTGTGTTACGATTGGAAGAAGGAGTCGATTCGGAATAGGAATCGAATGTGCTATCTCATTAAATGTGCTCGGGCACTAGGATTTTGGCAATTTAGGTCCACTCTGACGAGAGCTTGCGCGCGTCCTCATCATCGGACTTTTTGTTTCGAGTGCGCTTACTCTGTTGGATTCAATTCGATGCCTGTGCCGTGCCGGGAGCTTTCCCTTCAAAACTATAATCAGTGACTGAGTTTTGGAGGTGACTGAATTCGAATCGATATGTCATAACCGCTGATGCAACCGCGAGATCCTCATTAATCACGTGGGAGCCGTCACTTCGTTGGAGGAATTATCGAGGTGAACTGATTTACGATAATAGTTCTAAGGGTAAATCGACTACATTTTGCAATTGGGAACTACAATTTCTTGCGCATTCGTGGAATAATGCAGTCCAAATATGTCAGCATGTTGTAGCATACCTACTGCACAATTTTTCTTACACTTTATCGGCACTTTGAACACTTTTTTATATACAATTTTTTTTTTTTTTTTTTTTCTTTTTCTTTTTCCCCTTTCAAAAGCCGATTATACCTAGATGACTGACTTTTTTATTATTCTTAAAAAAACTTAATGTGTATAGAAAAAAGTGCAAATATGTCAGCTCATAATTTTGTGGTCATATTTGAAGTAAAAAAAGCACAACATTGCCTCTTAAGATTCATATATTAACAAACGGTAGACTAAAGACAATTGGGCTTCATTTCGCAATTAGGAATTACAGTTTCCACCTCAGTCGTAAAAATACTTACTGGTGTAGGGTAATTAATGCTGCCGTGCTGAGGAAAAACGCCGCATGAACATTCGAATGCTGCAAAATTTCCCCTGATAAAACATTTATTCTGGAAGTAAGTTAAGCATATTTTTCCTTGAAATTTTCCAATATTATAGATACAATTGAGAACAAAATAGTGTGAAAAATTAGAAGAAAAATATTCACATTTTCCCCAAATAATTCGTATTTTATGAAAGGAAATTTGGCAACGCCTGAAGGTTCATACAGTGGTTTCCCTTAGGACGGCAGAATTGCACATTCATTATTTCTGAACTGAGCCAAAATTTTTAGTCCCTATATAATTGCTAAATGCAGTCCAATTGTAACAGATATTAGAGAAGAAAACTGAATACTCAATCGCGCTTAAGTTTACATTAAGTTTTCCAAATGAAAAAGAGACCATTTACTCATTCATACTTAGTTATTTACTTATTTTCTTCGTGGTGAGCATGATGGAATATGTTGTCTGACAAAGTCGCTTTGTACGGACTTGCGGCTTTGCATGCAGATAGTGAAAACGAAATTAACTACATTTTCCAACTAGAAACTGCAATTTTTGGCTCAGTTTAGAAATAACTTATGTGCCATTAGTTTCTTCATGCAAAAAAGTGTTTTTACAGATGACCAAAAAATAGTGATTCCGAATTGTAAAATGTGGTCCAAATGTTGAACCGCGTCGGTGATGTGCCGCAATAAGTACGTGTGAGAATTGCAGACATTTTGAGCGTTCACCACGCCACGGGTAGTGGACGCTTTTTCCGGTGACTTTTTTCGAAGCTGTATACGGTAACATTGTAAAATGCTATAATTTTAGCATCCCCGTTATGTTTTATGGGGATTTCCACAATTTTTTTTTGGTGGGGAGTGATTCTATTTTTCTCAATTTGCATTTGTTAATATTGCTTTTAGTGCCTAAAATTGGTAAGTTGTCTCGAGAGGGGTATAAGTATAGAGTAACTTTATAAGGGGAGTATGGACAACTCGAAAATTTGGAGTTTAGGTTTGATCAGGTCTTGTAGCCCTTGAGCCCTTGGGGCCAAAGAGGGCAGCCAACCTATGAACTCGAATTATCCAGTGGTACTAATTTTCTCGTTTCCACTATTTGCACTGATCAAAAATTATAAAAGCACGTATGAAACTTTGATTTCGCATTAATTTTCTCAGTTTCAATGTCTTGGTCCTTTAAAACGCTTGCCTAGAATGCGCTGTCGGCCCTATTGATTAAGCTCTCAAATGCACAGGTTGGCAGCGGCAATTTTCTCCTGATTTCCGTTTTTCATGTTGTCGCCCTTTTGGGCCCTAAGAGCTTAATAAATAGAGTGTCCATACTCTGCCTATAAAGGTACTCTAGGTAAAACAACTTTTTTACACCGGTTTTTGCTGCAGTTACGCGTGAGGCCGGAGCGTGTTCCTGCGTTCAAAAAGCGCGCGCGTCGATGGCAC